AAAGGCTAGATCGAAGGCCAGATGTGGCCGTCGACGGCCAAAGATATAGCCGTCGTTGTCGGTCAACGATGGCCAAGATTTCGTCGTCGTTGACCGTCAACGACAGCCATTTCTTTGGTCGTCGCTGATGACCAGATCGGTGACTTACCGGCCGTGGTGTATGCCTTTTCCGGTTGTAGTGTAGGCCGTTGTAACAGATTCTGGCTACCACCAACGGTGGTTACCGGAATCTATCAAGTATGGTTTAGGGGGTGTTTTTATTACTTTTAAAACTTTTTTCTGGGGGTATTTAATGAAATTAATAAACTTAAGGGGTCTAAAGAATTAAAAAAATACAATAATATTTCTCAAATAATGTGTCAAACAATATTTGGGGAATAAAATTGGGAATATGGATAATAATATGAACCAAACACACCCAATATTACTCAACCCAAATATTTATCCTGAATTTTACATCCTAAATAATGTGTAAATACATGACTATTATCATATCATTCAATACTTCGTCGCTTTATTTACAAGTCAGTGCCACATATAATGACACATTAAGATATAAAATTGGGATAAATTTTGAGAAAATTAATATTATTGATTTTTAAATGCATGAATTAAATTATATCGTTATTTCACCGTCAACTTTATGCTACCATGCATGTTAACACGGAATTTCTTGACACACACTATAAACATGCATATTAAAATAATTAAAAAGTAATTTTTTTTTTAAATCTTAGTAGTATATTTATTTATAAATAGATACATTTTTAGTTTATTTATATTATCTAAATTATATAATTTGTATAAAATTTAACTTGTCTCATTGAATCTAGTATATTATTATTTAACATGTTATGGTGTCTAAGTTAATCAACTAACTGAAAGTCATAAGCTTATAATTAAGTATAAAATTGAAATTATACATTTTTTAATTGTTTATAATAATGGGTGTATAAGATAATATTGTTCTCTCAAAACTTTCCTCAAATTTGATATAGCTTAAGTGCATAACTATGAGAATAATGAATGAATTTATTAAAGTGATATGGTATCAATTTACAAGATACAAAGATGTAAAATAAATAACACGAAAATTTTACTTAAACTAATTTAAAACTTTTGGAACCTATATTAAGTCCTTTAAATGATATAATATTTATGTAATGAAAACAATGGAGAGAGAGATTAATGTTAAATATGTCATTATTAAGTACAATTTTGGGTTTAAAAATTATCATAGTTCCTTCACTAAATTATTTTAATGATACATATTCTTAAAAACTTTAAGAGAAGATCGTGTCTAACAATGAATTATGTTAAAGTGGGTTCAAATCATATTGTATTGGTATATATGAAGAATGACAAGTTAGTTAGTTAAGACATCCCGATTATAAAAAAAAAAAAAAAAAAAAAAAAAGGGTGATTTTATAAGCTATTTTGTATTTCCCTAAACCAAACGAATTATGTAATTGAATTATGATCCATATATTTAAGTATCAAACTTTTATGAAAAATAAAGGAGAGAGTATTAATATATTATTGAAAATATGTTAAGATGGATCCCAATGAGAGAAAATTAATTCTCGCATTGGAAATTTTTTGACAATCGGGGAGTGCAGTGTGATTTGTCGTGAAGTCCTCTCAGAAACGCCAGACAAATGATAATAATCTGAATATTGAAACTGCACTGTCGGTTCACTCTCTGCATTATCTTCTGCAATGAATCAATTCATATTTAATTTAATTAAAAAGATTTAAAGAAAGAGTGAGTGGCCCCTAATATTATAATAACTTGGTGTTATTCAGAGATCATTATAAAGAGTAAGTCAAGCATGACCATGTTGTTGCTTCTCTCTCACATGCTATTTTCAAGGCAGAGGCACAGAAAGACTGCAGGTTATTTATTTTTAATAATCTATACTAATCTTCCATCTTTTTCTTTTTCTTTTAATTATTATAATTAATTTGTTAAGGGTTATCTTTTTTTCTTCAACTGTCTTGTCTTGACTGTTTTTTTCTCTCAAGTCCTAAGCTCTCCCACTGGGCCAAATAAACAAACTTTGCAGTGTTTTATGTCAGAGTAATAATCTCCATTATATGTCTCTTTCTCCACTCTGGCTGTCAGTGTATACTGGTATCTTGCCCATTTTAAAAAGACCTACAGGAAACTCATGTAGAAGCTTTTTCCAAACTTCCTTCACAGTTCACATTCATTATACCAGTCATTAACCAAAACCAAAACCAAAAACCAACAAAACTTTACATAAATTTGATTCTCTTCCCCCCATGGAATTGCATCTGAAGCAATGAGAGGACACCGGAATGAGCAGAAACAAAAACAACACCTTCTGCAAAGATACCAAAACTCTTTCTTGAGTTACCCCACTGAGCCTCAACAACATCACTCATCTGCTCTTCGTTGTTTGACCTGAACCCACCAGTAAAGTCAGCAACTTGTCATCCTTCCAGATTCCAACCACTATACCCAGTATGATTTTGATTTTGATTTGTTACTTTACAAATAACCCTTCTTTGCTTTAAGTTGGTGTAAATGAGTTATTTTGGTTTTGGAGTCAGAGATGGAAGTTACTTTAGCTTGACTCAATGGCAGGAGCTTGAGTTGCAGGCTTGATCTACAGATACATGTTAGCTGGTGCTGCTGTTCCTCCGGAACTTTTCACCCAATCAAGAAAAGCCTTCTTCAAATTCCTTATTTTCTTCTCACCTCTCAACATCATTATCCCTTATTCACCAGTATGCTTGTGAGTTTGTTAGTAACATCTCATTTCATGTAATTGATTGAATCCAAATGACTTCATTTTACGATTATCAGTTGCTGCAATTATCATTTCGTGTTCTTGATGAATAAATATGACAACATTAAACTATTAATCAGTTGCTGCAATATTTTAAGATCACATGCTATATGTGTGATCAGTGTTGCAATCAGGGGTACGGGGGAAGGGGCGCGATGGATCCAGAGCCGGGCGGTGCAGGAAGGCAGACGGCAAGAAATGGAGGTGCTCAAGGGACGTGGTGGCTGGCCATAAGTATTGGAGCGCCACATGCACCGCGGCCGCAACCGTTCAAGAAAGCCTGTGGAAATCCCACGCCCACGCCAAACTACCTTGTACGGTTGGTGTTGCTGGGGCAGTTGGGACTCTCAAAACCACCACAACAATTTTCTGCTTATCACAGGCTGGTGGCTAACTGGGCTAATTTTGGTCTTCAAGACTTCCACCTTCTGTTGATTTCTTCATTTCATCAAAGGTAAATCTTGATCCATGCTTTGTTTCCAGATTTAGTATGAATATTATGTAGGAAATACTAAAATAGTTAGGTAAAATCATATTTTGTGGGAAAGCGAAAAATAATTTTTTTTAAACCAATTTGATATAAATTATAAATAAAATTTTTTGTTTTTGAAAATAAGAGATAACAAAAACTTTGTGAAATATAGTTTAGTAGAAATATATAAAATGTTTTTAAAAATAGTTTTCATACAATCTTGTAAAATAAAAATGCAGAAAAATGTTTTCGTTTTCCAGTTTTAGAGTTCTTTAATTAAAACAATGTTGAGTATTATATGAAACATATAAGCCTCAAAAATTGAAATGGTTAAAAATTATGTTCAAATCATAAATCAATCGAAAATTTTAGATGTAACTTAAATGTTACAAAGAATGATCTTTGGTTGGTTTTTAAGAATCTTTTCATGGAGAGCAGAAAATTATAAACGACAGATTTGGTAGGACCCAAGAGAAGACGAGAAGAGAACATTCATATCCGGAACTGGAAGAGCCTTAGATTTTGTACAAAACCGACCCCAACACTTCTTTATTAAAATGATCATCTTTTCCTTATTTTTATCTCTGTCCCTTGTAGTGATTCGACATTCAAACCTGATAACAAGATCCTTTCAACGCCACAATGAGGTTAATAATAGTGATCGATGGCACATTTAAGGCATTTTTTTGATGATTGGCCGAGATCACTTGAAGAACCAACAGTGCTTCAAGCAATGCCCCGCACTTGCTCTCCATTCAATGACTGAAATTCATCATCAGATGTCTCCTTGAAACTGTCAACGGCAATGGAGAAGAACAGCTAACCAACACCAACGTGGTGGAAGAGGGAATCCAACTTAATTGGGCCACAGGATGGACCACAAATCAGGTGGCTTCAATGGGGGCCCACTGGCAGAGGCTCTGCGATCCGACACAATCTAATCTTCACCAACAAGCGTTCTCATCAGTTGCCCAGGAGCTCACTCTGAGGCTAGTTCGTTAGCACCTGAATTAATGTTTTTTAACTAAAATAATCTGGTTTGAATTTTCTTTTTGTGATCTCTCTAGCATAAATAGTGTGCACGGGTGTTTTTAATTCTTAGTTAAAAATTTCGCCTTTTATTCTAGGTATGAAGACAAGATTTAGATATAGAATTATAAATACCGTACAATCTCTGCGGTATGTCCAAGAAACATAGACACATACATATTAGCTAGGCAAGAACATTTACCACACTCCCAACTGGGATGTATGCTTGCTTTACCTTGGGCTCATCTTTTAGCTAACGTGTCCAGATCCAGCCCATGTATTTGGGTAGACTGCTTTGCACTAATTTTTTGATTTCTTAACTCATCAAGTTAGATATCAACTGCAAGATTCCAACTTCATTCTCTATTCGCAGGTTCCAATTCATTATCTACTAGTGATAGACAACAACTGTCTCTATGGTGCATTACCAAGTAAGGAACGAGGCCAGGTCATCATACCACCCCTCCTGCCACAAGACCATTGATCATAAAAGTAAAAAGAAATCAGATGATTTAAAAATAGAATAATACTACATTATACTGTAAACGATGATTGGGTGAAAGTTTTAATTTTAATTTAAATCAACAAATATATTTTGCATTAGAATGTTTTATGTATATGTTAGTCCTCCCCAAGTGAAATGTCTTACTTGACTGAAGTATCGGCATTATGGTCAAGCCTGTTTAAAGCCCCAATAACTGATCATCTGAATCCAAGACAACCGCTGAAAGAGAAAACAAATAATTTATAATTACAACATACATTGGAATAATGACCAATAATTTACACATTCTAAGAAATATACAGTACTGGTTGTGTTTAAAGTTACTTTTGTTTGATATGAAGTACTTAATAAAATAACAATGTGGGGCTTTATAAAGCATAAATTCAAGACGCCTACGAATTTGCGCATGGTAGTCATGAAATTTAACTTGATTAAAATACTATTGAACCGATTATTGAATGACATTTCATTATTTATTAGAATAACAGAACCCTATAAGTAAAAACGAAATTATACCTCCCCAAGAGAAAAAGTGAATCTAGATTAAAACTTTCTATTTAATTGGATTTACAAAACAAATCCACAAAAATAAAAATTTGGTAAGAAAAATAAACCATATGCATAAAATTTTAAAGTAATCAAAGCTAAAGATGAAAAAGTGTAAAAAAATTAAATGCTACTATAATATCCTGGCTTTAAGCAGCCCGATTCGGTAGTCAAAATGAGCTGTTTACTCACAATGAAAATTGAAGAGAAAAACAGGTTTCCCCTCTCAAAGAACATAAATCCTGTCTCCTTCATCTTTACGATATGTATTGATGCTCAGAAGCAATAAACTACATCAACAGTAACTTAATCAATTTTTCATTCTAAAAGATCTTAAGGATGTACTGGTCATTAAAATAACACCTATAATTGTGAAAAAATAGCATGAATATATAATATTCCCTTCATATAACCTTCGAATACCAGAATAACATATTTAAATAGATAAAAAATGATAAATACAACATTAAACATAATTCCAAATTTTTTTGATATTAATTATACAGAACGATATTAGTTCATATAAGACTTCAGTATACTCTTTCAGATGGTGCATCGACCGATCAATCTCTTGACATCCCGTGATGATCTTAAATATTCCGCATCCCCTGGTGTCCAACACCAACAATATATAGTTATTTTTAAGAATTATATAGATTGGGCATGATTTGACTTATATATTTTAACCATATTCCTCAATCCTATTCCTCCAAAAAGTTTGGCAATTATTCCAGAAAATTACCTATTTTGTATACTTTTAGGACCCATAATGTTTATTATTTCATTTAATGCCCCCGAAAAAAGTTAAAAATTAGTCAAAAACACCCCCGTGAACCATACTTGCCAGATTACGGCAACACCGTCGGTCGTACCGTAATCTGTACAACGGTCTCCTGTCACCACGAAATGGCCGGAAGTTTCACCGATACTGGCCAGTAACGCGGCCCAAGAATGGCCGTCCGTTGACGGTCAAACGACGGCCATATCTTTGCCGTCGCTAATCCGCCCAAGATGGCCGTCATTTTGGCCTTTTCCAGCCATCCACAGGCCCGCAGGCGTGGGTTGGCCAAAAAGCCATAATGACGTCGTTACGACACAGATCAGACCGGTCTGTGTACGTAAACGCAATTTTTCGGCGGTGCGTGTGCCGGAATCTTGCATTCAGGTGGTAGAGTGTTTTTGTCATTTTATACATAGGGTGTTTAATTACATTACAAACCTGGGGCTTTTCATAAATTTTTAAATTTTACCTTCGATAATCTTCCCTATCCAACTACCCAATAGTATTCCTAAACTCTATCCAAATAATAAACAAACACACCCATAAGATGTAACTTGAAAGTTACTATTACATGCAAAATAAAGTTATATGTATACAAAGAAAAAAAAGTAACTTCTAATGAGATGAATATGTACCTCTCATGACAAGCAACTCATTATTAATTAAATGTACAAAACATCATATGAATTAAAACACGGTATGTTAACGAGTGATTAGGATTAATGTACAGTAAAATGACAAAGGACTGATACAGTTGAAAATAATATATAAGCACTGGAAGTTGGAAAGTAGTATTAATGGGTATTTGGTTCATAGGAAATCCATGGGCATAAGGGAATTGATTTCTTTCTCCGAATATGTAAGGATACCCTTCTAAGTTTTACTTAGTCACTTGGGAATAAGACCCTATGTCCTACCGTTAAGCGCATTAACTACCAAAAAATACCTCAATATTTATAAAATATTAGATAGTTTATATATTAGCTTAAATATTAAATATAGATTATAATTGCATTTCCCATATGAAAAGATAAAAATATAAATATTTCTGAAGAGTGAGGCTTGTCCAATATTTATGATATTGATTTTCATTACAAAGTTAATTATGAAATCTATTACTATTACTAAGTATCTTCATCTTTCATTCTCTTCCATGCCATTATACAACCTTTTTCTTACTTTTCCTTCCACCGACCAACCATTAGCTAAGAGAATTCATAACACTTAAATCAGTATAAGGCCTGAGTTTCTTTTGGCACATAGGGTCAAGAAGGTTTCCATAAGCAAGATTTAAAAAACTCTTTTTTCTCTTCATTATTGATCACGAACATAGCTTTGGCCAATAATCTTATTTAGCAACTTTGCACGTGGTTTTCTTCATCATAATATATTCACCTGAATTTTTCAGTTATAGTAAGCCTATTCCAGCTAATAATGAGTTATTGCCTGTCAAATTCATACTATGGTCTACATTAAAACTTACGTGCAAGGTCATAATTTAATGATGCCAACATGAAAGTACAAATATTTTAGGTATGCCCTTTCAAACACTCTGCAAGATATTGTTCAAAAATTCTAATCGCAGGGGAAACTTACAGCATCAAAACCACGCGTCATATCATAACTGAAAAATTTGTTCCAGGAATACTGCCAGTAGGAAGACGCTGCTGACTCTTGGAAATCAATCCACTCTTATAATTAACAGCAGATAAAGAATAACACAAATCATTTCAAGAGCTTATCAGATTAACACTCAACAAGTCCAAGTCAATGATGGTAGAAAGTCTCAAAGCCATAAACGCAGATATTAATAATCAATTGCACCCAGGATTCCCAAATTCATTGACACTAAAGTCAAATATCCTTTCCGCCAGTCCATATAATTGAGCTGATCATTTGTGGTAATGCTTTCCACGATCTTAAAGCGGGTTGGGTCTGTCCAGTAGCCATGAATCATACATATCCTACAGAAAGGACAAATGCAGATAATTCTGAAAAGTTGAATGAAATCAGCTATTGTATCACATACACAACATTTTTCCTCAATGATTTTATAAAATGACACATGTTACTAAGATTAACGTCCAAATTATGCTACAACAAGAAGAAAATGACAAATCAGAGAGAATGACCACAATTGAGTAGATTAATGACATCAAGAATGATGACTCCATCTACCTGCCCTACAATCATTTAAATTATCAAGGCGACCAAAGTGATAAAAGCTACTAATGACCAATTACCCTAACTCTGTGTGGGAAGATTAAAGATACAATAGGATACAAAGTAGTTTAAGAAGAGAATCAAGACTCTAAATCATCATCCCAACCAGAACCATGTTATCTTTTCAATAAGTTAGTGTAGGGAGAATTTGGTAATTATTTCCGAAAGGAAAAAAAGTTAGACAAAATCAAATCTTACATTTATGTGAAATATTTGTGAATAACTGTTGTATCACTAATTTCTAGTTAGTAATGGTTGAACCATAAAACCTAGGATTGATAGCTTTACAATCAATTAGGAGTTTGACAGGGCTGTTCCCTAAAATAACTTGTAACCCCTCTTATTTACCAGAAAACGAAATAAGAGTGATAAAGATTCTCTTTCCAGAACGTAAAAATTATTGCATTCATATCCAACAACTTTAACTACCATTCAATTTTCTCACTAAAGTTTTCTCATGCAAGTGGTACCAACTGTGCATCGAAAGAAACATATTTGATAACATGCTCTATAATTATTTGAATGGACTTTTAAGAAGAGATATAATGAGGGAATAGGCTTGTAATTTAAATTTCATTAAAGAAATAGTAGCAGCTTCATCAAATAAAGATGTTGTGCAATGCTTATGTGGAAATTAGTTTGTATAGCATAAATAACAAAATTAGTTTGTCAAAACACAAAAAAGCAATGAACTACAGAGCAGAGAGGTATCTGACAATAATTTCATTTAGACATATCCAGTAGCAGATCTAGAAATTTTTGTTAGGGTGGGCTAAAATAAAAACTAATTACACATTAATATTTTTGTTTATTAATATTTTTGTTAGGGTGGGCCAAAATCCAAAAATTATATATATTAGTATTTTTTAAAATAAAATTGAGGGTGGGCCAAAAGTGGGCTGGATCCGCCCCTGGACATATCCAAAGCTGTTATTCTAGAACCAAAAAGCATTTCTATGGCACACGTAAAGGTGTGTATGCTGTGTCCTTCAACGTGAACAATATGTTGATAAGTAAGAGTACGGCTAAGGTCTATGGTATTTTGTATGCTATAAGTAGTAAGAATACAACTAACCTTGTCCATCAACCAGAACGCAATTGTTTTGTCACCAACTAAAGCTTGGTCGTGACTTTCAGCATAAGAAACACATTTTTCTAACCACCTTCTGTTGGTCAGTGTGTGAACAATGTCACCCATTTGCCAGTCTTCATCCCTTTTCCTACACAGTACCAAGACAAGGCACACATATGTATGCCAAATGCATTAATTAAAAAAAAAAAAAAAAAAAAAAAAAAAATTAGCTTAAAGTTTGTTGAACGGGTAACAAGTTTAAGACTCCTAATAGGAACATACTTAAGGAGCTCGATCCATTTATCAGCAATGGCCATTTGTAGACGATAATCAAATCCTACACCACCATCTTCAACAGGAATGCAGAATGTTGGCATTCCACTAACCTGCAAGGAAAAAATTCCATATGTTTAACAGGATAAACTCAGGGCAGAGAGTTGGCATTTTATCACAAAAAGAGAAGTATAAGAATCTTAGCTTGACAAAAAATAAGCTTCCAATAAAGTTTAATCATTTATACACAGGTAGGTTATTCTAACTGAAATTTGTAATACAAATTCTTGGCCATTGTTCCAATAGACAAAGAAAAAGAAGATAAAAGAAAAAGAAGATAAAGGTAGTCATTTTTAATGCCAACTCAGAAACTTCTAAACCATTGAACTGCATTGAATTAATGGTTAAGAATTTGTAGCATAAATTTGAGTTAAAATTTTGTCACAATAGCTTGACCCTTACTTTTTCTATATACTGGCACTCTAGTTTGCTCAATCTTCAGGTCCTGATTATTATATGGATTTTTTGTGTAAAGTGAATATTTTCTATCACACTCTTGTAAAACATTCCAGAAAGGGTTTTCCTTTAATATGGATTCTGACAAATGCTATACAAGAATTCGAAGTATACATAATTAAAATAATAAAAGGGTTTAGTCACCTTCAGAATAGGATGAGAAAGACAAGGAGATTTACTAGGAGTAAACAAACTGTTCACAAAAAAGAAAGACCAGCCCTAGATAACCAAAGGATTCATACAAAATGTGGCATGCGCACAGACATTGTTCAAAACTAGAACAAAATCAAGAGTAAGATTTCAGAGTTTCTTATCAAAAGAATAAATAGATCAGTTGTTAGACAACAAACACTTCCAATCATATAAGGCAGGAAGTGATATAACGTTTTACTGTAGGCCCAAAATACAGAGTTTTACAGCATATCTTGAGACATATTCTAACCCTCGATTAATTTATGGAGATAAACTGTACTAATTTCTAATAATCGGAATTGCAGTTTTTAGTGAATGGAGTTTTCACATTTTTCTTTATATGAAAAAGGTTAATTTAATTTGCGACAAGCACTTAATTATTTCCTGAATATGTTCCACACACAGACTATTATAACTATGTCCCTAATCTATCTGAAAGGTCAAGTAATTTAGTTTTCAGGTGCCCGATGCGAAATTGAAATGTTACAACTTGCAAAATATAATTCAAGAAACTCACTAATTGTCCAAACAGAATATTGGTGAGGGAGGGAACATAGGCAAACACACATATTCTATGATAATATATCATGCATGCAACCTTTTCTGAGAACAATATTTTCATATGATGAAAAAATCATTTAAATTGACTTATCCTGAATAAGAAATAAAATCTTATTAAATTGGAATCCATTCTCCGAAGAAGAAATAAAGTCCTAGAATTAAAAGATGCTCAATATGAATTAAAGGGAACTGTCTAACATACATCTTCTCCAATGGTAACAGCCTGAGGGAAGAGTCCATGAATCAAATCATTGACCAGCATCAGAAAAACAACAGCATCTACATCAGTTGCAAATCCAAAGTACTCATTGTAATTTCCAGTAAATGCCATCTGCAACACCAAACAAATCAAAGAGCCATTGTAAAGGCAGAACGCCAAATAATGTAGTTGTTAAAAATACAAGCTGTTGCAATTCAAGCTTCATGTAGATATGATGCAGTAGTATATTCACCATCTCTAATAATAATGTGCAAGAAGTTTTTTTATGCTATTTTTAGAATAAAATGTAAGAATAGATCTTTTCAAATGACAGAAAAGAATTGACAGTATAAGTGGTGTCTGATTGGAGGAAGAAACAACTACTTTCAGTTTGGGAAAAGAAAGTATAGAGATGAACTCAACTCTTGCTCAATATANACAAATTTTCACCCCAGCTTACATTGTTGATCAATACTTGATAAACCTACATGCTATTTCCTAAATTTGCAAAAATATAAAAGTATTAGTATTAACAAAACCGCAGATGATATCCCTATATGAACACAAAAGGAATGCAAGCGTAGGCCTCTCTATCTTATGGCCAGAATCTGTCACTTTTTTAACCCATGGAACAGCTAGTATTGGCTTGAGCTTAGTCAAAGCAGACTCCAGGAAAAGTAAGACATATCTGTTGACAATGGCCCAAGCAACAAAGCTACAATGGCCAGAATTGTAATTAGTAATGCCAGCTGATGAGTTTGAAAATATTAATTCAAACTCCAGTTTCACCACAGTTTAAATAAGGTTAAGATGTAAAGACTTGATGAAGAATTTTCTATCTTGTTTTCTCTACATAGCATGAGTATTACCTCCATATATTTATTTCATCTTATAATTAATTATTTATTTGCATAAAAAAAAGAGTAATACACATAATAGCACATTGCACTGTGATCACACACAAAGTCACAATCTTATATTTAAACTGTAAAGATACTAAAGATAGAATAATCAAGGAAATCAACCTGTAGAAATTCAAAAGGTGTGATACCTGCGTGTGAAGCCTAACTTTTCATAGCCACGAGAAAACAACTCCAAACCACCTTCATACCTGTCAATATCCTCACGCATTTTTTTGTATTGTCCATACCTGCAATAGGAACAAGACTTTCACCAACCTCAGACAATAAGTCAAGAAAGTGACATTAACAGAAAAATAATACATTAATGAATATATTTTTATTCACAGCATAATAATAAAAAGATTTACTAAGAATAAAATAATCAGACTATAAAAGTTTGTATCATAAATCTATCTTAGAGTCAAACATTTTGGATAATAAATCTTAAAGAACACACAAATATAGACACACAGAAGGAGCGTACACAAGAGAATTTTGTATCCATGTGAGTGAAATGTGTGCTAGATTTTTGTATGAGTTAAAACTAGGGAAAATAAGGAGTTGTTGAAAAACTTAGTTTACTCCTTCATTGTATGCCATATCAGAAACTATAATAGCAAGATTTCATGAGGGAATGTACTTATTAAACTTACAATTAAATTAGAAAAATCCCTATGAAGATTCCTGAATTTGTAATAGATTTAAGTGTTAAAAAGGGTTGTTGTTGTGTGATCAAAAACTGTCAAGAAACTTCAGAGCTCTTATGGATATGGGACTTGAATTCAAGCATTATTATTAACTAAAGGTATTTATTTAACCATAGTATAAAAGAAAAAATAGAGCCATAGGTTGATTTGTTCAATCCGACATAAACATTAGGGAGAAAAAACAAGAAGCACCATCTTCGTAAGCAAGCTATTTATGTCTATTAAGTTCAAGCTAGGATGGAGGATAGACTCAAATTACTGCATTCTGATAAACAAAAGTGAGGAAAGAACGTAAAAACACAATAGGAAGAAGCCCACTAAAACTGACCAGAATGCATCCATACAAATATCAACTAAGAGAAAGAAATTAATTTGCTCCCACTACTTTTAGAGCCCAGGTCACTGAGTCATTCAAACAAATTCTCAGTGTTCATTGTGTAACAGAATAAAATATTATCTCACCTGTAATCAAGATGTTGACGAAAACCTGTCAAAGTTGGATCTATCTCATATATTCTCTGCCCCCTACCAGGTGGAGGAATGGAACCTGGTCTAACTTCAGTTTCAGCTTCACTTTCTTCAGTACTTACTTTCTCTTGTAAAGGGAAAGATGGCTCTACAAACGTGGAAGCAGACACTGTCTCTTCAATCTCAACCTTCTCTTCATCTTCCATTTTAAGACAATCTACATCATGAAGTACCTAAAACAAGAGCATAAAGGTGCAAGAAGCAACAGTGTTAAAATAAGCACTCAGCAGAAAATTAACCTGTCATAAGAATATACAGAAAACAGATAAAAACATGTATTGTTCAAATATAAGATGAGCAATGATAGAATATCTGTCATGACACTTGAGCGATGGTTATTTTAGTCTAGTCAAGTCAGGCCTACAATAAGCATGGCTCCTGATGAGAACCCACTCCCAAAACTCAACCAAAACAGTAAAATAATAACAACCAACAGCCAAGAAATAGGAAGAAAATAGATATGTGTATTAATATTGAACAAACTGATAACAATTGCAGCAAAACAACAAAATATACCCAGCACATCAACCAAAAGGACAAAATCAAAATATGACAGGAAAAACAATGCTAGACTTCGAGGGCTAGCTCCTCCCTAATTGCTAACTCCGAGGGTTAGCTCCTCCCAAATTTCCCTATATTCTTCTCTGCCTCTAATCTGCTCTCTCCCTCTCCTGTTATCCACCAGCTCTCTCTCTCTCTCTCCCTAACTGAATTCCTTTGCTGTCCCAACCCCTATTATTTTAGTTTAGTTATTATTTATTTATTTATTTAATATAGATATAGATATTTTTTTTGTTTTTTTTTACAAACGTCACAAAAACGGTTTTCGTTAACCGTTTTTAATTTTCTCCGAACCTGTAACCGAACCAAAATTCGGTTTTTTGAATTTTTCGAACATAACCGCACCCGTTTTTTTTCGGTTAACCGGTTTTTCGTTCGGTTTCAGTTTTTGCATTTTTTGAACACCCCGCATAGCAGGATACAATGGGAATCCTCACCGATTTAAACAACTCCATCACTCTTCTTAACCCAAATTCCAGGTTACTACTTTTACATAAATTGCCGCAATTGAACCCAGTCTTACAACAGTCCTCAGATGACTCACACATTCAACGCCAGGCCTCTGTAAAACAATTTCTAAAAAGCATAACCTTGAGTCATGATGCCCTTGGTTGGCACATAAAGCAACTGCTTTATGTTTGAATCACATTTCAACAGAGCATCCTCTAAAATAATGATTAGCAGAAACCTGCGAGAACTGTCTCAAGAACAAGTACTTGGACAAGCCAGCTCAGACAAAAGATACATTAATTTACGTGGACGAGTCCATGAGTCTAATATCCTATGAAAAGCCTACAGGCAAAACTGTACAAAGTTTTTTGATGCACAGATAGCCAGAAAGGCTAAATTCAATGCCTGGTAAACTCTACATGACCCAGGTTTCAGGCATAAATGGTATTTTTAGTTAAAGAGAGAGAAAAGTCATTCTTTAAAGCAAGACGGCACATAGAGGAATAATCATTCGTAGGAGCATTCCTAGAAAAATGTCGTAGTTAAGTTATTAGCACTAACCAAATTAAGATTCCAACACTCAAACTCATGTAAAGGGCCGTAACACGCGTTATTTTTTTTTTTTTTTTTTAGTCTTCTTTTTTTAAGGTAACACTGGAGCGGCCTTTTCCAGTGAGCGAATCTGAATACAAATCTAACAAGTAACAGAACTTAGCTATTAACATAGGCAACCCCATAAAACCAATTTATTCTATCTTAGCTCCGCATAAAACACCATATTTTCTTCCAAAAAGATCAAGACTTCACTACAGCAAGTTTGCTCTATTCTCTGTGCAAATGAAAAAGCTCCCAAACTCACAATGTAGTGCAATTAAAGGGCCAATTTGCAGCTCAGTAACTCTGATTTACAGCAAAGAAGATAACTGACCCGGGTATGATATTGCATTGGTATTCAGTTATTGAAGTTCCATCAAAGCATGCTGACTGAAAGAGTAAGCATTACTCTATAAACCCCCCCCCCACAAAAACCCACCCCCCAGACAAAAAAACTAAACAGTTACACAGATTTTGACACGTCTATTACCAGGATTTATCAAACTAATACAATAAGGGCACAAGTTTGAGAAAAGCTAGTGTGAAGGATTTTTGACTGTGAAACATACACAGCTGTCCGTTATCTCGTAATTACCACTAGTAAGGAGTAAACTTGAAAGGGATAAGAGCAGATCGAATAAATAAACTGTCCATGTTCTGATCAATTCCAAAAAGAGTCACAAGCAGCTATACAATGAACTAACCACTTTTAGCACAAAGTATAGGAAGAGCCTTTTCTTTTTTTAAATGAGAGATTAGAAAAGTATTGAAGAGGGCTTACTTCATTCTTCTATTTTTCACGTATCACATAGAAAAAGTATTGTAACATAAATTCCAGGAGAGTTCAGCAGGAAACATACAGGAAAAAAATATTGTTTTCACATAGAGGCACAAAGATTTATGGATCATATAACCATCATACAACCTCTATGGACTATCATCACATTTGAAAATATGTTAGCCCATAACATCCATCCTCAACAAGAGGTAATGAGATCAACAGTTAAATCCTGGAGTAAAAGATCAAACAAACACTTAGCTCCGGCGCCCACTCTCTATAGTTTACCTGTGGCACTGCAAACCAATAGGGACAATCAGCAACCACAACTTCTAATCTTTTAATTACTTTTTAAGTAGATAAACACTTGATTGGAACAAAGAGGCCACATAAAATTTTGACTAGATGTCATTTCAATTTCAGAAAAAAATATGCACAACTAGAAAAACACCCACAAAGAGAACATGACCTGAAAATGAGTAGAATACAACTATTATGCTAATAACACATAGAATGCCAACCAAAAACAAAGTAAACGTTCTATAGGCTGGTACTTATAATTACGGGTGCTTCATTCTTGGTATCCTAACTTAAATAGTCAGAATTGAACCAAGATCAAATATGCAAATAAAGCCAAGTCAAATGTCTAAGCTGAATTTAAGCTTGATTTATATTTGAGTGAAGTAATCTGTTGGGCCTTTAACTATTAACTTAAGTATTTAGGTTAAGTGGTTAACTAACATAGTATTAGAGCTGTGTTGACCAAGTGCTCCTGTGTTCTAATCCATTTATTGTGTTAATTAAATCATAGCATGTTGTGTATGCAGAAATTGTTGTATTTATTGCTGTCATCTGTAGTTATGGTTGATTAATAACTAGATGAATGTTAAGCAACTGGGAAGTGCAAAGAACCCTCAAACACTGGAGATCTAGCAACTAAAAAGATTGTTTCCTCCCCATTTCTAATTCAAAAACTCCTAGGCTATATTGGACCTTAGTATCTTCATAGAGGACTCAAGAAGGACAGCACCAACAACTTTAGATGAACCAGTAAAAACAACCTTTACCTATAAGCTTAATCTTTTGTGTTAAACTGTTATCTAAATGGTACCCAAGCCAATCATATATTTGAACCCTGCTATTAAATTAATTAAATAATAATATGTTGTGTTTATGGTTATGATTACGTTCCTAGTAATGTCTAATCAGGCAGTTAGAAAGCTGCATAGCGTAGGGGTGTTCAAAAGCGGTTAACCGGTTTCCAAACCGAACCGGATTTTCGGTTCGGGAATTTATAGCGTAGGGGTGTTCAAAAGCGGTTAACCGGTTTCTAAACCGAACCGGATTTTCGGTTCGGGAAAATTCCCAAACCGAAACCGAACCGATTTTAGGGAAAACCGGTTAACTGTTTTAAAAAAGCGGTTAACCGGTTTTGAACCGGTTTTCCCCTTTTTTTTAATAAAACATTTTTTTTTTTATTTTGTCCTAAATTAAATTGTAAATATAGACAATACATTGGGAACTAAGAAAAAAAATTTGGGTTGGGATTTTAGATTGAGTGAATTAGGCATNCCAGTAGATATGGGCACCAAAATTATCACTCCAGTCAAGTTCAAGCACTGCTTGAACTTGCTGCATATCAAGTAATCAGGAGTGATAAAGAGCTATGACAGAATGGGAAAGGGCAAGCTACACAAAGAGTCTGTTTCCAATGCTTCCAAGGTGGAGATTGTTAAATATGGAAGCCTGAAACAGCGTCGTTTAAGTAACACTAATACGGCGTCATTTTAGGCATATTAACTTGGGAAAAATTCAGACCACAGGATGCATTTCAGATTGAACGGCCAGGATCACTCAAAGAGTCAAACCATATATAAGCGTATGTTCATTCAGTTTTGACAGAGAGAGAAAACGACAGTGGCTAGGGTTATTTGAGTCGGTTATTTTTCTCTGTGTTAGGGTTGAGATTCTACATTCCAGATTGTGAGTATCAGTCGAGTGATTAGGGGCTTTAATCATTCAGGTGAGAGTGTTGTTCTCTCGGGTTTGGGATATTCAGAGGGTATCTTGTAAGGCTGATTGCTGTTGTAAACGGGTAGATCTGGTGAGTGTTGAATCTGTGTAATCTTGACGCTTTTCTGGTAATCGAAGTGCAGCGAGCTCATACCGTTCTTGAGCTCAACGTGGATGTAGCTTATCCATAAAAGGATAAGTGAACCACGGTAAATCGTGGCTTGTTCTGTGTGTTTGATCTTTGTGGTATTCTTGTGTTTCTTGGTTTGATTGTGGTGCGTTGTTAGATCAGTTTTTGCTATTAAAGTATAACATCACAGATGTATATAACTTCCAGGATTATAGGGATCACATTGATCTTGTGTCCTAATAGAGATTGATCACCTACCTAGTTTAGAACACAACAAATGTATATAAATATGTATCATTTTATTCTATGAATAAGAAGTGTGTGAATATTCATCCCTAATACGTTTTACAAGTTAGAATGTCATTTCTTCACTGCCTAGAAAACTAATGCTACAGTAAGTAAAACATTCTCGACAGAAAAATACATAAAATGATAGCAGACATAGAAACATATAACATTAAGTTGAGGCTCAGTTGTTACTTTTTCCAAGACCAAGCTGTCCATTGGAGTTCTTTCCCCAAATGTAGAGCTCCTCATCCACTACAACAACAACAGCAAAAAAAAAAAAAAAAAAAAAGGGAATAGAATGCTTCAGAAAATATATTAGAAAAGATTAGGAATATACAAGGACATCATAGACATGTATATACACTAGCATATATTCTTTTAACCATGGATCATACCCTACAGACTTAGCTCAGATCCCAAACTAAGCATGGATCATATGTTAGAAACCATGTATTTTATGAAGCAGCCTAAGATCTCCCAGATCCCAAACTCATTCTGCTTACAGACTTAGCTCTATCTAACAAAGTAACTCAGTAAAACAATTTATTCTATCTTAGACTGCTTCATAAAATACATAGTTTCTTCCCAAAAAAAGAAAAGACTTCATATAAAGCAAAGTTTGGCTTTATTTTTCTGTCCAGGATGAAAATTTCAACTCACAATGTCAGTGCAATTAGAAGAGGCAATTTGCAGCTAGAACTCTGATTTACAGAAGCAAAGATAACATACCCAGGTCATGATATCTGCATTGGGATTCCAGTTTTTGAAGTCTCCAATCAAAGCTGCTGACTGAAAGAGTAAGCAATTAACATATAAGACAAAAAATAAACAGTACCACTAGATTTTAAACGTCTATTACTAGTATTTATTCAAAATAATCCAATAAGTGCACAAGTTTTAGGAAAAGCTAGTGATGAAGGCATGTTTCACATTTGAAACCATATACATGGTCCAGTTATCAGTAATTACCACCAGAAGGAGTAAACTTGAAAGGGATAAGAGCAGATAGAATAAATAAAAACTGTCCATGTTTGATGATCAAGTCATGAAGGTCACAAGCAGCATACATATAATCTACCACTTTCAGTACAAAAGTATTTAAGAGCCTTTTCTTTTTCTTAAATGAGAGATTAAAAAGTATTGAAGAGGCTTGACTTCATTCTTCTATTTTTATGTATCAATATAAAAAGTAATTGAACATAAATTACAGGAGCGTTATCATGATAGGGAAATAAATGTTTTCACAATAGAGGCACAAAGATTTAGTGGATCATAATAACAACATAAACCAGTATAGATTATCATCACATCAAAAAATTGTTAGCCCAAATAACACCATCCTCGTCAAGAGGTAATGAGATCAAACCGTTAAATCATGGAGTAAAAGAATCAAAGAAACCTTAGCTCCCGGCGCCCACTCTCTATAAGTTATACCTGTGGCACTGCAGAACCAATAGGGACAATATTCAGCAACCACAACTTCTAACCTTTTAATTACTTTTTAAGCAGATAAAACTTGATTGGAACAAAAAGGGACCACATAAAATTTTGATTAGAACTCAATTTCCATTTCAGAAAAAAATATGCACAACTAGAAAAATACCCACAAAGAGAACATGACACCTGAAAATCAAGTAGAAGACAACTATGAGCTAATAAACCACATAGAAGTGCCACCAAAAAGAAGAAAGATAAACTGGTTCTATAGGCTGGCACAAATTTTCACCCCAGCTTGCATTGTTGATCAATACTTGATAAACCTACATGCTATTTCCTAAATTTGCAAAAATATAAAAGTATTAGTATTAACAAAACCACAGATGATATCCCTATATGAACACGAAAGGAATGCAAGCACAGGCCTCTCTATCTTATGACCAGAATCTGTCACATTTTTAACCCATGGAACAGCTTGTATTGGCTTGAGCTTAGTCGAAGCAGACTCCAGGAAAAGTAAGACATATCTGTTGACAATGGCCCAAGCAACAAAGCTACAATGGCCAGAATTGTAATTAGTAATGCCAGCTGATGAAGTTTGAAAATATAAATTCAAACACCAGTTTCACCACAGTTTAAATGAGGTTAAGATGCAAATACTAGATGAATACTTTTCTATCTTGTGTTCTCCACATAGCATGAGTATTAACTCATACATTTATTTCATCTTACAATTAATTATTTATTATTTGCATCAAAAAAAGCGTAATACACATAATAGCACATTGCACCGTGATCACACACAAAGTCACAATCTTATATTTAACCCATAAAGATACTAAACATAGAATAATCAAGGAAATCAACCTGTAGAAATACCTGTCCGTGAAGCCTAACTTTTCATAGCCACGAGAAAACAACTCCAAACCACCTTCATACAATCATATCTGGCAATATCCTCACGCATTTTTTTGTATTGTCCATACCTGCAATTGGAACAAGACTTTCACCAACCTCAGACATTAAATCAAGAAAGTGACAGAAACAGGAAAATAATCCATCAATGAATAAAGGTTTATTCACAACAAAATAATAAAAAGGTTAACTAAGAATAAAATAATCAGACTACAAAAGTCTGTATCATAAATCTATCTTAGAGTCAAACATTTTGGATAATAAATCTTTAAGAACACACAAATATAGACACATAAAAAGAGTGTACACGAGAATTTCGTATCCATGTGAGTGAAATGTGTGCTAGATTTTTGTGTGACTTAAAACTAGGGAAAATAAGGAGTTGTTGAAAAACTTAGTTTACTCCTTCATTGTATGTCATATCAGAAACTATGATAGCAAGATTTCATGAGGGAATATACTTATTAAACTTACAATTAAATTAGAAAAATCCCTACGAAGATTCTTGAATTTGTAATAGATTTAAGGGTTAAAAGGGGTTGTTGTTGTGTGATCAAAAACTATCAAGAAACTTCAGAGCTCTTATGGATATGGGACTTGAATTCAAACATTATTATGAACTAAAGGTATTTATTTAACAATCGTATAAAAGAAAAAAGAGAGCCATAGGTTGATTTGTTCAATCCAACATAAACATTAGGGAGAAAAAACAAGAAGCACCATCTTTGTAAGCAAGATATTAATGTTTATTAAGTCCAAGCTAGGATGGAGGATAGACTTAAATTACTGCATTCTCATAAATAGAAGTGAGGAAAGAACGTAAAAACACAATAGGAAGAAGCCCACTAAAACTGACTAGAATGCATCCATACAAATATCAACCAAGAAAAAGCAATTAATTTGCTCTCATTACTTTTAGACCCCAGGTCAGTCGTTCAAACAAACTCTCAGTGTTCATTGTGTAACAGAATAAAACATTATCTCACCTGTAATCAAGATGTTGACAAAAACCTGTCAAAGTTGGATCTATCTCATATATTCTCCGCCCCCTACCAGGTGGAGGAAGGGACTCTGGTCTAACTTCAGTTTTAGCTTCAGTTTCTTCAGTACTTACTTTCTCTTGTAAAGGAAAAGATGGCTCTACAAACATGGAGGCAGACACTGTCTCTTCAATCTCGACCTTCTCTTCATCTTCCATTTTAAGACAATCTACATCATGAAGTACCTAAAACAAGAGCATAAAGGTGCAAGAAGCAACAGTGTTAAAATAAGCTCTCAGTAGAAAATTAACCTTTCATAATTATATACAGAAAACAGATAAAAATGTGTATTATTCTCATATAAGATAAGCAATGATAGAATACCTGTCATGACACTTTAATGATGGTTATTCTAGTATAGTCAGGCCCACAATAAGCATGGCTCCCTATTTACAACAAGTACTCAATAGGTGCATGCAGATATTACAAGCTCTCTCACCTTATGGAGCAGTCAAGTTAGGCCAGCACTGGAAAATTTTGTGGGGCAGTAATAATGGTAAAACTTTATGGGTTTTGGGATTTCAACAAAAATGATGGGTATCTAAAGAAATTAATATTTCAATTTTCTTATATCTTAATGTCTGTTAAACATGACACTTTTGTGCAAGCGTAGTCATCTTAATATTGTACTCTGTGTTAGCATATCATATGTTTGTACATATTGATAGAATACTTACATACTATTTATTATTTAGTACTTCTCTGTCACCTTAAAAAAGAAAAAGAAAAACATATAGAGTTGCCAAGCATTACATGCAGTAAACCCTTAAAATAAATTCAAGCACCAGGAAAAATTCCTTATGTTGGGTGTACCTATTAGGTCATAGTCAATGTAACATTGAATCAAATTTGTCAAGCAAAGAAACACCATGACGACACGGAAAATGAATATATACATGTTTGTACTAGCCAAGAAATCGTACAACATTTCTTTTATAGGCATTCTCTAAAAAGTCTCTCAAATGCTAGGAACCTGCCTTAAGCATCCAAACTATGCGGTCCAAGAAGGAAAATCGAATCAAACCTTTATCAATAGTTGTGTGACATCCTTCATTGTGCATACATACTCCTCTGTCAAATTTTCAACATAAACACCAGATTTGACATCTTCTCTTATCTGGAAGGAGAAGCAAAACAGGGTCAAGGAAAACTGAATTTATGTAGGTCTTTTACTGGATGTGAGTGCTTCTGTCACCTGAAGATTTCTTTGGCTTGGATCCAACAAATCTGTGATTTGTTCATTGTAAATCTGCAATAATATGTACATATATTAGGACATGCAACTTAAATTTCACAAGACAAAAAGGGTTACTGTCCAGTCACAAAACCTCAAGAAAAGAACAACAACATTGGTAATTTAGCTGCTTTTCAGCATGCTTGATTTGCTCCTACAACGAAAGTACAAGGGGATAATATCATGAAAATACAAAGGATTAATGCATCGACAAGTTGACTCCTGAAAAACTTGAACCTCACCTCATTTATGCGGGAAATGAGTTACTAAAAAATACAGGGAGTTAAGCCTTGTTGATCACTTGAAAAATTTTCTTCCAACAAGGCATTAGCTGGTCCCCACATGGTATAAGTCTTTCCACTCCCTGTCTAGTGTAATCAATTTTTCAGATACACGAAGAAAGCTAATGGCATAATTACATGTAAAATAAAATATGAGTGGAGAGGAATCAAAAGCAAGATAAAAGGTACCTGCCCATAGGCAAACACTGAACTGATAAATCCAGCTGAACAATTTTCAATGAGAGGGAGTCCAACAAGCTGGAAAACATCCAGCTGCAAACCAAACCTATATTTGAGCACCTTATGGTAATAATGCAAATAGTCAAGTAGAAAAGAGATAATACATGTGTGGAATCAATGTCAGCAACTGAATCAAATGTGACTGTCTGTCCATTAATTTTCAAAGCATCATTGCCAACTTTCTGTACTATCATCTCCCCTTCTTCCTCTTCCTTATTTACAGGTCGCATTCAGACTATCACCTAATCCACACCATCCAAACAAGAGACATTAGAATCTACTCTGTATACAGTTGGGCAGTAAAGCTACTTAATAACATTCAAGAATATCAGCAATATATAACCTAGTCATCCTTTTATTTTTAACCATGTACGCAAATTTCCAATTTATCTCTCCCTTCTAATACAGAACCAAAAAAAAAAAAAAATAATAAAATAGAAACTCAACAATTTCTCGCTTTTCCTCTCAGCAACAAAACAGAAGCTAAACAAAACTTTAAAATTTACATTTTCTCAAGCTTGAGTCACTTTTTCCCCCAATTATCTTAAAATATAAAAAAGATAATATCAAATAACCATTGAAAAGAAGAAGATCGAAACAATTACTTGAACACTCGAGTTGAGGACCCCAACCATTATGTTCTCGGGAAGTGTATCAGTGGCAAGCTTGCACTTGAGTGGATTGGGCGGGCGTGGGGAAGCGGACTTTTCATCTTGGAAGGTGCCGGAGAAGGTGGAAGAAGTGAGTTCAGATCTGACAGCAGAGCATTTTCTTTGGATATTTTGCTTCCGCAATGACTTTAATTTTGAATTAGGGTTTGGAGAAGACGAAGATGGCGACTCATTTGAGTAAGTCTCTCTCAAGATTGTGTTTCTTGGCTGCATGAAGTGCTTCATTCCGATCAGTAAACTAAAGAGATGCTTCATTCCGATCAGTAAACTAAAGAGAGAGAAGAGAGAGTGGGGTTTGTTAAATTGGGCAAGATTGCTGAGATTGAGGGCATTGGAGACAAGAAGAGGAGAGGAGAGAGAGAAACGTACCCGTTAGAGACACAGAGTTTTGAATTTTGTAGGTAGAGAAAGAGAGTGATTACTGATTATTCACATTTATTTATTTTTGCTTTTCTAAGTGAGTTTAGGGTGAAAGATGAGAAAATTTAACTCCCGGACATCCCAAGTTTCTATTTAACAAAATGGTCCTGAAAATCTTTTTGATTTAGAAAAGCTAACGTGGCATAGTTAGGATTCATTAAACATGTAAAATAGGTTAAACTGAAAAGATTTAAACATATGTGGGCAAAAATAATTAATGAAAGTTATTTAAAATTTGAAATTTAAAAATGAGCCCCACCCATTCAAAATTGCTTAATCGAATGTATTAGGCAAAAAATGACCGACGAACCCTAAACCCTTTCTCTGCCATTTCTGACGACTACAGTCCCACATTCCTGCAAATTTTCGATTCATTTTCAATCCTAAAGCTTCCTTACACAAAACCATGGCTGACATTCACAAAGAGGAGGAAAACCCAACGCCACTTCGAATCCTAGACTCTGGCGGTGCCAGTAGTTCAATGGTTGCTCTGGTGGATCATCCGATCAGTGAAGGTGGTCCACAGGTAAAGGAGACGACAACGGCATAACAACAGAGAGAAGAATTGCAAAACGGTTCTGAAGAGGAGGACGCCGGCGAAGAAATGGTATCTATTTTTACTTGTTTTTTTTTTTAATTGGATGAGAAAATGGATTGATTTGTGCGAATTTGGGGGAGATGTGGTTGTGGCATTTTGTCGAGCAGTTGGCAGGCATTGGTGGAGTGACTTTGTTTGGGTTCCAGCGGATGGGGGAAGGGAACGGAGGCCGTAGGGAGGTTGTTTCAGGGAGTTTGGTGGGCTGGGGATGGTAGGAGGTGGCCGAATTTGGCGGGTTGGAGGGCTGCCTTGCATATTGGCATGGTTGGCCACGCATAGTGCACGTTGTGCGAGGGGTTTCAGAACATGGAATTTTGTTGGCACACCCTCTTCGGACCGAGGGGTTTCAGATTTGTTAGAAGTGTTTTATTATGACAAAGCTATTTTCAGTGAATCTCTTTATTTTGTGCTTCATAATGCTTTAGTTGCATGGAATTTTGAACTAGAGCTTCATAATAACTACTTTTTTTTTTTTAATTTTCTGTGGTTTTAGAACTTAAATGATATTTTGGTTGTTACCTTTTGCAATTACTGGTTCCTTAATTGTGTCAGAGCCTATTTTGACTCTTATATTTTGTGGTTAATTCTTAAACACCTTTACTTGTGTTAATCAAGCTTCAAAACATTGCAAAAAGAATGCCAATATTTGACTCTTATATTTTGTGGTTAATTCTTTAAGGCCGCAATGCTGATGTGGGTCATTTTGGAGTCTCGTGTCTCAAAGGATGTTTGTGCAATAAATGCATTTTAGGTGGTGAGAAAAGCATGTTGGCATTTGACATTTTTCACAGAGCTAACAAATCTATGGTTTAGCTTGATTTTAGCCTAGTGTTGTTGCTTTGGTCATTGGCATTTTTTGAGGGGGATTATGTTGCCTAATTGTTAAGTTTTAGAAAGTGAAGTTTGTTATAAGTGGGAGTGGGCAACTATTTTTATTCAAAGTTGTGGTTTGTGATAGGCGCTTTCCTTGATTTAGTTACAGACAATAAAGTAGGTATGTTGCTGTTTACAGTAGAAAATCGAAGGTGTGGTTCTTTTATATTTAGGTTTAAAACACAGTTACATGAGTGGAAAGGGTTCATTACTATTATTGTTAAGGTTTACAATTTGTTTTTAGTCTCCTATGGTGGTTCTTTTCTTATGTTGGTTGGCAAACTTCTTAATGAGATCCTCCCAATTGCAACATTATATCTTATGTTTTTTGTGTTCGCATTTATTGGACGCCCACAAAAAAGCAAGTATACATTACATTCACGTTACTTTTCCTTTAATTAGTGTCTATAATAAAGGCATTTACTTTTGATAGTGTAATGAAATGAAATATATATTTAAACTGATAGATAAGTGTCCACTCTTGCAGCTGCCATTTTCAGTTTCCTGGAAGCTCTTTCGTGCAGAGATAATCCCAATTTGGGTAATGTTAGAGCAAATTTGTTAATCTCTTGTCACGTTAGTTGAGAAAATAATGTGAATGTTTCAAGGCTTTATAAAATTGAACATGGCTGGTTTACTTAAACTAGAAACCAAGATTACTTTCTAGACTCCCTTAATTGAAAAGTTGGTACTTTTTTCTTATAAAGTACTGCTCCGATGAAACCAAAAAAAGGCTTTTTTTTTTTTTTTTTCCATACACATGAAAAGATTAGTTGAAAAGTTGATTGTATGATACTTTTTCTTTGTTTACAAAGTATGTTGGCAGCCTATTAGTTGTTTTGGTTTATTTTTTTTGCTGATATTTTGTTTATATCGATTGTGCAGATTTTTCGGAGCGTAAACTATAAAGACTACGGGTTGGAGATTGTAAGCGATAAGGTACCGTACTTCCCTGTAAGGGTGACAATAAGGTCAAGTTGGGAAGTTTTTAGGAGAATAAGGGGGATTTTACAGGGAGTAAGGAATGGTGAAGACCGATTCAAAGAGACTTGTTTGGGTCATTTTTTAAAGATTGGAAAAAATTGGAAAAAGGCGTTCTGGGGGTTGGGAGTGCATTATATGTTGCTGCACTCAGTAAAAAGCAAAAAAAAAAGAAAGAAATGTGGTTTTTGGTGGATGGAAAGCCACTATGTTTTGGGATGATGGAATATGCCTTGGTGATAGGCTTAAGATGTGGGGAATTGTCAGATGCGGTTGAGCAAAATAAAATAAAGGAGAGTAAGGCAGCCTAAAGCTTGGCTAACAAGGTTTTGGGGGAGCAAGCATTTATTACGGGACGCAATTTATACGAGAGGTTAGAAGAAGGTGGGTTAACCTCTTTAGAGAAGTTCAAAATTTGCTTGGTATTGTTCGTACATTCGATCCTAATGGTTGCTGACTCAACAAAAGTCGTTGATATGGATTGGGTGATGCTTGCAAGCAACTTGGACTTCTTTAATGCTTATCCGTGGGGACGGGTATCATTTAAGCGAACCATGGAGTCCTTGCAACTAAAAGACATGGCGTTAAAGCACTCTCAATGGGTCGAGAAGAATAGACTGAGCACGTACAATTTGTTTGGCTTCCCATGGGCAATGCAGGTAAATATTAATAGCTTTTTGTTATATTTTTTGTAATATATGTGTTTGAATTATGATATGGACTATTTTTTTTACAATGTAGGCTTAGATGTATGAGGTCATCCCTGTCCTCGCTAAGGCGGGGGGAGGATGAAGATTTCCGATGAGCGATAACAATTTCCTAGGATGTTGTAGTGACACGTTGAGAAGTGTACCCATTGGGATTATGACAAAATAGACATTGAAATTCAAGCGGCTTGGGTAAGATTAAAGGATTAAGCTTTTGAATATGCACTTGCTTTAAAATATAGCTTAAATCTGATTGATTTTGTTTCTTATTGCAGGGAGTCGTCCGTCCGTCCCTTCCTCACCGCTACTAGGGGTGAAGCGGAAAAGCAGTATGTCACATCTTTCCAACCACTGGAGGATGAACCAGATGAAGAGATAGACCACC